GAGAGCTAAATGTTAGGTTTTTTTTTAATACCTAGCCATAACATTAAAAAAACAAATTCCATTTTGGTTGTTGAAAAATGTGAACAAAGTTACAGTCGATTCATAAAGAAAGGAAAATATTAATGATACTTAAACTGGCCTTGGGACAAAGGAGGTTTCCTTTAACTTCACATTTTCTTGTTCAACCTGCAGTCACTGCAGATGAGTGATTGTCAGTTTCTGTAAGATTTCTGCAACTGGAGCAGGTATTCTGTTTACTGGTTAACTTCCTCAGCTGTCTCACATTTTAAAGGTCAACCCTACTCCATGTTTCAGTAGAAAACAAGCACATTTAGGAGTCAGTACATACCCAGACTTTTGGCCCTCACACCTGTACCCAGGTGCTCATGCTGCATGATGAGATCAGATTTATCCATATTTTAGAAATTACATTTAGCTTAGTCGACAAAACAATACAAATGAAGACCGTCTTAAAAAAACCTCTTGGTTTTGCAGTAAGCAGTCTGATTTCAAACTGACATCTTGGCCAAAGGTAAAATAAAAATCTTTGTGTTCTCAGAAAAGTTGTTTCAGGACCTCCAATAAACTTATGTACACTTCAAAGCCACAAGACAGATTCAGGAATTCTCTTTGTTTTCCAGATTTCACATTTGTTATTACCTTAAAACATACTCAGACAACATTTGATGCATCATTGAATTTTTTTATTGTGTTTATTGGGACATCCATTTTTAGAAGTCATCGTAGCATCTGTTGGAAACACAGAACATAGTACAGTTAGGGTGTTGCTAGTTGTTACTTAATCCTGGATTGGATTTTAAAGTTAATTTTGATATTTTTTTCACAAGAAAAAAAAAGTTGATTTCCTAAAGTTTAACTATAAATGAAGGAATTTGTGCATTCAGGTAATTGAAAATTAAGTAATTTCTCTAACATCAAACCCATTTTAGCCACTGAGCCATACCAAACACCCATAATCTATTCTTGAATGAATTATTGACTATTATTGACAAATTACAGACTTTTTATTGAATAAGTTATTACTCATTATTGAGTAATGAAAGTCAACATCAGATGTTGGTCAACATTGTTGGGCAACATCTTGGGGTCTTCTAGAGTCAGTCTGAAGTGAGAGTGGTCCCTGACATGGCAGAAAGACGTAGATATAATTAACAGCTTTTATTTATTTATTTTTCAGCTAATAACAACTTTTATTTTATTTTTTTTTTTCATATTTTTCAGTTATACACAGCTTTTAAATATTTATTTTTCAAGTATTAAGAACTTTTATTTTCAGCTTTTATTTTGAAAAGGAGCCGAGTGGAGGCTCACTTTACCTCAGTGCGTTACGACAACAACGAGAGAACGGTCGAAACTATCGTGACCTACAATAAACGTACTTCAATAAAATGCATAAGTGAAAACATAACATACTTTATAAGTACAATAAACCATATTTCTTTGTCAAATATCGCAAAGAAACGTTACCTCATCAATGACTCGTGACTTTGAGGGTTACCCACAGCCAATCAGTGTTCGCCGCCGACAAACGCCTATTAAATACTGTTAGCCAATCAGTGTTCGCCGTCCATAAACGCCTATTCGCCAGAAACGCCCACTTTTGGTCTGCAGAGACCCCCTTCTCGACCAAGCACCTGTGGAGAGGGAAGTCTGGGCCTCCCTACTTAGGCTGCTGCCCCCACGACCCGACCCTGGATAAGAGAGAGAAAATGGATGGATGAAATGAGCAGCAACACGTTGTAAACAGCTCAAAGGAGCTCCATTCATTTTTAATGAAGAAAACATGGCCGACAGACATAGGCGTCACAACCATTATATGTGAAGGGGACAAGTCCCCCCATATTAAAAAAACGTTCATTTGGACCCCCTCACTTTTACATTAAAACATTAGTTCAGGCGGCGCAGTTTCTCTTTGTTCGTGAAGAATCCATTCCACTTGATTAATAGAATACTCAAGCCACTAAAACTCCACTCCAGGTTTTCCTGGTTACCTCCAACTCTCCACCGTCTCCTCCTGCTTCGACAGAAAAACGCGCACAGGTGGAGGAGGTGGAGGTTCCTGTGTTCCTCGCTCGTCAGTTTAGCAGCTTAGCGCGAGCAGTGGTTGACCAGGGGTTGATCATCAACATGTATTCATGTTGGGAGGAGAGGAGCTGCGTCTGTAGCATTTTGTCTCAGCAGTAACTGAGACTCTGCAGGTGATGTGGTGTGTTCAGGTGCATTAAAGTTGAAATGTCTCTAAACCCCCACACCTTATTGTCCTCGAGCTTCATGACAAACATCATTTAGATGAGTCGTGTTGAACACAAGTAAAAGAGTCCAGTGATTATGGTTTTTATTTCTCTATAAACACAAATAGTGTCGACCTGACGCTCTGTGTTAAAGTGTATTAAAGTTAAAATGTCTCTAAAACCCACAGATGAATTTACACAAACTTGGAGAGAAACAAGTTTTAAATGTGTGGAATTAAAAGAAATCCAGGTGAAACGCTGCTTTTTTGTTCACTAGTGAGCACCTTTTATTTACGTGCGCTCACACGTGCACTCATCACTGTGCGCCCCCCCCCCCCCCCCCCCATTACAGATGCTTCTTGCAGACAGAGCTAATAAGTAAAAATGACACAAACACTAAAGTGTCAGCAGGAGAGTGGTGGATGATCTGGATGAATCCATGAAGTGGAGATCAAATCCAGAACAGCTGAAAGACACAAAGCTGAACGTTGAAACTGAATCCAAGTGAAGTTTGACACCAAACACTGACATGTTGCTGCTGATCAGTGACATCATCTCAGCTTCAGTGCAGAGTAGGTTCACTAAGTGTGACGTCATCAAAGACAGGTCTTCATCTGCAGAAAAAGTCCAGTTCGTGGTCAGTCCGAGCCGGTTGGACAGTCCCCTGCTGCACGGCCCCGCCCGAACCCTGCCGGGGCCGGAAGTGGCCCGCGGGCCGTGATTGGAGCGGTGACCTGATTGGTGCGTGTCTCAGGGGGACAGTGTCTCCTGCTGAAGGACAGCTGCTAATCGGCTTAGATGAAGCGGGTCAGCCTCTCCGCTTCTTCCAGGACGGGTCTGTCGGTTCCGAACTGTCCGTGAGCTCCTGGGTCACCTGCAGAATGTTTGTGGACCGTCCACACCGAACCTCAGTCTCTCTGTGAAGACGGAAGTCTTGCGTTGGACACTCACCTGGACACGGGATGGAGCCTCTGGACCAGCATGACGCGTCAGGATGAACACCGGAGACCCCCCCGGCCTTCACGAGAGCCCCCTGTCCGCGGGGCTGTGGCTCGGACCCGCACGGAGCGGCGTGAGCGCCGCGGGGGCGCGCAGCGCGCCGGCGCTGGTGCTGGGGGTCCTGCTGATCGTGGTGACCGCCTGCGGGAACCTGCTGGTGTGCGTGAGCGTGCTCACGGAGAGGGCTCTGAAGACCACCACCAACTACTTCATCGTGAGCCTGGCGGTGTCGGACCTGCTGCTGGCGGTGCTGGTGCTGCCGCTCTTTGTTTACTCCGAGGTCAGGCACAACAACAACAAACAAACAAACAAACAAACAAACACACAGGCGGCCAGCTCTGGTCACAGGCCACATGAAACATCTGATACAGTAAATATATTAATATTAAAGACTCGGATGAACACGTGACCCCAGGAGGGTTGATCAATAATCCATCCTCGCTTTAATCTGCGTTATTGTTGTTTTATTTATTGATGATGCTGCGTTCAGGGGCAAACGGCAACAACAACACTACCAAGTTATGCTTTTTATGAATTATGTCCCATCCTTCTCTTCATGTAAACATGTTTACACATCGGATGAGAGAAAATAATTATTAATTTGTTCATCAGGTGTTTTTGAGAATCAGACAGATTTATTTGTCACGTGACACATGAGGCGGCACGAGACCATGGGTCCCAGTTACATCCAACAAAAACACAAACTGGAAAGACAAACATAAGCTCCGAGTCATGGACTAAGAATATACAGTACTACATTCACTAAACTACGAAGTTCAAATATCATCATCATCCATCCATCCATCCATCCATCCATCATCATCCATCCATCCATCCATCCATCATCATCATCCATCATCCATCATCCATCCATCATCCATCATCATCCATCCATCCATCCATCCATCCATCATCCATCCATCCATCATCATCCA